ATATATATATACTGTTACTGTCCCCATTTCTTCATTTCATCCTCATAACATTATATTTTTTTTAACTCAGAGCTGAAATGGAAACTAAATGGATTTAGTTTTGGAAATCTGGTCACCTTACTGTCAGAAAAACTGAGTAYYTGGAGAAAACCCATGCAAAGCCTAGGAAAACGTAAATTCCATACAGAAAGACCCCAGGTTTAAACATGAGATCAAACTTAGGATGCTTTTACTGTGAGGCATCAGTGCTAACCACAAAGTTGACATGCTGCCAARTAATGACTGAGGATATCATAACATGTAATATTCAGTATCTAGAGGTTATAATAATGTTGTACAATGGAAGTTTCTAATGTGTGCAGTCCTAATACAATTGAAAGAAAACAAATGCTACATTAAATAATATTTAACATATCCGATTCATCTTTCTTTCCTTACACCCACACCAAAGATTCTCAAACWTTATATCCAAAGGTCAAGGATCCCGGACAACCAGCAATTAATACATAATTTCTGTTAAGTTTGTTTACAAATAACACCTTACTAAAAACATAATTCAGTTTCCCACAAGTATTTGTTAAAGTGTACTGTAATTTTGTGGAAAATTTTCTTTGAACTCTGTCAACTTCATTAACTTTCATGCCTCATAAAAATAAATAAAACGTCTTTGTTTTCACAAGAGAATATATTTAAAGTGTCTGTGATGTACATGTCCTTCAAATATGAAATGTATTCAAGAAAGTCAAAGAAAACATTTTGTTATTATATTTAGGAAACTTGGCATAATATACACAAATTTACCTATTTTGTCACATACTAATAACATACTKTCTTCTGACAGGAAGTGACGTCAAATGGAAACTGTTTATGAAAGAAAACCCTCTGTTCCTTGTTTATTGAAGCAATAATATTTGAACTCTGACTCTTCATCTCTCTATAACAGTGACTCACAATAGTGTAAAGAAACATTCTTCTCTGCAATCTGGGTTAGCTGTTGCAGCAATGCTCTGCTCAAATGCAGGCATTCCCCTTTGACATCACTTCCTGTTAATTCACATGCGAATATCTTAATATGTGTTCATCTCAGTGGCGTGAAAATATTTTCGCAATATTTTATCAGTGTTATGTTTCAAAAAACGTGTTAATATTTATTACAAAAATTCGATGCCATAGGCACTTTAAAGGCTACATGATGCAGAGGAGTTAAAAAATAGACTACCCTCGTGTAAAAAATGTCACCATCTGCAAYAAGCTGCCCAAACCTCAGCACAAAAAAATGATGTCAGATGGAGTAACTGACTTAAATGTTTATTTTTAAAGTGGGCAYGGTGTGTACTTCTTACCGCATATTTTTAAGAACACAGACTCTTACAGGCATGTAATGAGGATAAAATAAAAGCACATTTCTTTGTCTGCTTTTCTTTGAAAACTCAGTTTTCTAAGTCTACCGTTCTTCTGTTTGCACATCTGRAGAACTCCATGGCATTGCAACACAGACAGAGGTCAAAGCTGCTTCTGCTGCCATAGTGGATACAAAGAAGGCCAAGGTGGGCACGATGTGGCTTAAGKTGAGCAACAAATGTGCATGAAAACAGTTTTTTGAGTACACAAATACTAGCTGTGATTTGCAAATTTTGACTACACAAATCTCACAAAACTTGGTCACAAACTGTCCGATTTTAGTGGAAACGCAGTTGAGAACATTATTTTCCCATAAATTTGAAAACCAACAACATAATGGTCTCAACCCAGTGAGTTACTAGAGACAGTAGCTGTGTTTCCATTACAAATGTGCGCAAAACTTTGTCGATATTCTGTTAATGTCGAAAAAACACAGTTTTGCAACTGCGGTG